GTTCGGACCACGCGCCACACGCGGCCAGCTCTGGCAGCTCCTAGTCTCGGCGGGATCCCCGAGCCGGGGAAGCCCCCGCGGGAGGAAGGGTGGGGGCTGGGGCAACCCGGCCGCGGCTCCCGGCCCCCCAGCGGCCGAGCCGGGCATTGACGCGGTCCGGAGCCCAGCCGTGCGTCAGCCGTAGCCCTGGTAACGGGCTGGCAACGTCACCGCAGGGCAGTGCGTCAACGCAGGCTGACGTCACGCCCCGGGAGAGGCATCAAGTCTGGGGCCTAAGCAAGTTGCAGACCTGGCCCACAGGCAGTGATGTCACGGAGGCGGGGCAGGGAGGTAAATATGCACGGCCACCTGGTGACACTGTCAGGGGAGGTGACGCCAAAATGCCAAGAGTTTTTGTGCAATGTTTCCGCAGAAAACGATGTTTTAAAACTAAAAATAGCCAGCAAACCATTTTTCATAAGCCCAGCTTACATATATCAAATATTCATGCAAATTTACGGTTTGCATAAATGTGCACAGAGCCCTAGTGGCGTAGGCATTGGGCTGCTAACCACAGGGTCAGCAGTTCAAATCCACCAGCTGCTGGGATGAACAAAGATTGAGGACGTTTGCTCCCATAAATTTTTACAGCCCCAGAAACCCTAGGCTGCAATTCTACTCTGCCTTGTAGGGTTACAGTGATTAACTTTGATGGAAGTTGATTTTTGGTAAAGTGCTCTGGTCAGAGCTGTCATTATTACCCAATTACAACGAGGCTTCAAGTCACGTGATTTCCTTTGCTTCAGCCACAAGCCTGTTCTCATTACTGTCAGTCACCGCGTTTGTCAAATTTTCTGGTGTTTTAGCTACAACGATATTGTGGTAATGTGTATTTGTGAACCTGTATCAGTAACTTTTTGTTTTGAGAATGACGTAACAAGTAAAGAAAGGAGAAAAAATTCAAGACTTCTGCTCAGTTGCTATGAATGTAGTTAATAACTGTGCAACTCAATGTAGAAAGATTTTACAAAATAATTTTGTCAATGGAATTAATATAATCTAATATTACACTTAGGCATTTGACAACGATATCACATATTACCCTATGATTAAAAATGATCATTAACATGTCTAAAGATTCCGTATGGTCTGGTATTGGAGGAACAACATGAGGGGGTGACACCATTAGTTACTGCACGGGTTGGCACAACTCTTCTGTGCCACAATAGTAGGATGAATGCCCTTGGGGCGCTAATGTTGGATGCATTCGGTTTGGTCCTGCAGGAGGCGCTAGCCCACTCGCCATGGCCCCTGCATCCCCTACGGCATGAAGAGGAGTCGCAGTGTCCTGTCGGTGGCTTGGACAGGGGATGAGGTGCGAGGGCCGGATTGGCGGGGGTGGAGCCAGATGGGGGCGGCGCTAGGGTCTCAGGGAAGACGAACGCTCTCTGCTGGTCAGGGCTGTTTCCTGAGCGTGGTGTCTGAAAGCTGCGAGGCTGGTCTCTGTGCCTCAGTTTATACTCTTGATGCCGTTCATCAGTTGCCCAGATTCTAAGCTGTCAGACCAGGGTCTGACAAGGGTCTCCCAAGGAGCTTCCCAATTTAGGAGAGGATTTGGGGAGAAGAAAGAGGAGACAAGAAGGCCAAGAGGGCACTTCCTGGAACCTGGGAAAGACCCTCAAAAGTGAGGTGTTTGAGGGCTCTCAGATGTGAGGATGCAGGACTACAGGCTTGGGACAGCAAGAGGGAACCCCACAAATATAATGGCTGAGCAGGGATTCCCCAGATGGGAGGGAGGTGTCCAGAAGCTCTATCCCCCCACCCCCTCCAGCCACTGTCAGCCACACCCTCCAACAGCTGGATGGGATATTCTTAGGGGGTGGGGTTCAGAATTGGCCTGCCAGGCCCCCATCCCACCCTCGTTCCTCCTCAGAGGCTGCGGGAGACCCCAGAGCTCAGTTGCTCCAACATGCTGGGGGCCGACCTCCGCCGTCCCCGCCGCCGCCTTTCATCTGGCCCTGGCCTGGCCTGGGTCCAGACTGAGCCCTCGGACCCAGGGGCAACTCTACCATCACGGCCCACCACGCTGCCGCTGTTGATCCCCAGGATTTCCATCACCAGGGCGGAGGCCGACAGGTAGGCCCAAGGGGGACCCTTCCCCAGGGACAGTGGGTAGGGACGGGAGGAGGAACAGGGCCAACTGGCTAGGGCCAGCCACCAGCCTTTCCAGCACTCCAGGCTCCCTGCGATTTTGCAAAACCAGCTGAAACTTCTCTCGCGAAGTCTGACCATCCGCTTGTGGCACCCCTCCTCCAAGGCGCCTCTTGCCAGCTCCCAGAACCCCTTCTTCCATTTTGCAGTGGCCTGAGTCAGCAAGGGCCAGGAGCTCCGACTTCCCGACCCCTGCAACGCCCCACATTCACAGGCCTGCCCAAGCTGAGCTTCTGACCAGGGCACTAGGCCTGGGTATCCCTTCTGGGAAGGTTTCGCTTTCTCCCGTATCTCAAAGGGGAGAATAGGATCCTGGAGGAGGTCTTGGGGGCCATTTTTCTCTCTGCTGGGGAGAGGGGAACGTGGGAGGGGCTGCGTTTCCAGACTTAGCCAATACTTTCTTGCTTGGTCTTACCTGGCTCCTCCAAGGGTGTCCCCACCCCTCTTCTAGCCCCTGAGTCTTTAAGGCGGACAGCTGACCTATTCCTGGCCCCTGGCCTGCACCTGTCACCACTGTTCTCCCCAAGCCACAACTACCCACAGCCTCCCGGCTCAGGGCCTCGGCTTGCTCCTGTGGACCATTTCCAGATGCGGGGAGGCGATGACAATCATCGCCCCCAGCCCCCAGGCTCTAGCTTCTACCTCCTAGTTCCACCCGGTCATCTCAGTCTCAGGCCGCAGCCCCCACCGACAGCCCTGACTTTGAGACTCCTTTACCCTTCGGCAGCCTCAGCGAGGGGCCTACTCTCCCCTCCCACATCATGCAGAGCAGTCCCATATCCTTCCAGAGTCCACCACCACCCCCCCTCGAAAGACTCTGTCTTAGGGCAGAGCCCCTCAGATGAACTTGGGGAGATCCCCGGCACTTGCAAATTCTCCCTGAAATCGTTTGGAGTGTGGCTTTGATGGGGGAGTCCCCGCGAGAATTCGGGGCACATTTCTAGTCTCGTCGACACCCAGCATCTGTGGACAGGAGCGCATATTTTTGCCCGGCGTGCGCCCACGCCGGGGCGGCGGCGGGTGGGGGTTGGGGGCCTCTGGCAGGGCCTCTGGCGGCTGTGAGGGTTGAAGACGAGCAGGGTTGGTTGTTTTTTTTAATATATAAGAAGAATATTACCGGAGGGAGAGGAGCGGTGGCAGACGGCACGGCCTGTCCCGGGGAGCCCGTGGGAAGGGGCGCGATCCTAGTTCGGGCGCCAGCACCCGAGCAAGCGGATTCGCGACGTTCCCCTGATCGGTCCTTGGGGAGGGGTACCCCCGCCCCCAGCCCAGCAGCCTGCGGAGTTCGACTGGGGCCTGCGGGGAGGGAGGCTCTTGAGTCCCGCTCGTTCGCTGCTTGCTCCCTAGCTTGCTCGGCGCGGCGCTGGGGGAGGCGGGAGAGTGAGTCACGGCAGCTCCCGATTTAGGTGCCGGAAGGGGGGCTCTGCCGGCGGAGGCCGCGGGGAGGAGGCGCGGCTGTTTACTCGCCTAAAAAGGGCACGCGAGTGCGCCCCGCGACTGCCGCGGACCTGCCTCAATTTACCTCCTGCAGATGTACTTTGCAAGAAACAGAGATAAGAGAGCGGTGGGCGGGTAGCCAGGGGAGTGGCCGCGGTGTCCTCCAGGAGCCCCAAGGGGACCAAAAGGGACACACCCCTGAACCATCCCCAAGATTGGCCGATGGTAACCATACACACACCACACACACACACACACACACACACACCAAACACGCATAGACGCCTACTGAGATCACAGACTCGAGGCTGAATCGCGTGCTTGTTGACAACTGCAAACACACACGGACTCCAATGCTCATCAAACGCGTGGGGGCACTCGCAGAATCCCCCACCGCGGCCACCGAACCTGATCCCGGAGAGCCGCACATCCTTCCAAGGAGCAGCACACGTGCGCACACATCCTTCACACACAGACACACACAGCGCGAAATCCCGGGAAACAGGCGGTCCGCAACAGCCAACCACGTGGGCGCGCGCGCGCGCGCGCACACACACACACACACACACACACACACACACTTCCAGCCCCACCGACAACACAGACAACCCTTGGAAGTGGCCACGTGCGTGAAAACCCCGCCCCGGACACACACACCATAGCCTTTTCTGGGACCCATCAGCAGGAGGTTCCCAACACACTGGCGGACACAACGCGCCATTCGCACCCAGACCCACTCTCCCCCAGCCTCCCCCGACCAGGGGTAGCGGCGAGGACACACCAAGCTTAGGCTCCGCCCCCGTCATGATGGACGGACTGACTGACACTCCGGCAACCAGTCGCGTGTCGTCTTCCTGGTCGGATTAACCGCTTAACTCCTCAGTGCCCGTGCGCTCTGCGGCGAGGCTGGGCGCTCTGGAAAGAGCAGAGTCCCGGCGCCCCCTCCCCGCCGGGAACAGGGCTGTGCGTGGGAGGGGAGGGGCCCCCTCTTGGGTGGCTGCCCCCCACTGGGC